CATTCTCAAGATTGCAATTCCATTCTTGGAAGCATTTTTCAAACTCATCTGTTTGGATGGCTGACAGCACCTCCCTCATTTTTTTCTTTGCCTCTTCTACGTTGTCAAATCACTGTCCTTTCATGTCCCTCTGCATTCTCGGAAACAAAAAGACGTTGCAGGGAGCAAGGTCAGGTGAGTAAAGTGCGTGGGGCAAGAGAGGCATGCTGTTTTTTGCCACAAACTGGTGCACTGAGATGGCGGCGTGAGCAGGTGCATTGTCATGGTGGCAAAACCAGTCCCCCATCTGCCACAAATCAGGCCTTTTTTGTCGCACTGTCACACACTGTTATGCATACTATAAAAGCTCCCCTCTGCCCAGTACAATTCCATTTTGGGGGTATCCCCTAGTATAGTAGTTATATGGTTTAATAGTGTAGTTATATAAGTTTAAAGGAGCCCTGCTGGTGTAGTGGTTACACGTTGGGCTGTGATCCGCATGGCTGTCAGTTCGCAACCACCAGCAGCCCCACAGGAGAGAGACTGGCCTTTCTACTCCTGTAAACAGTCAGGTGGGGGAGGGAGGGAAAAACATGAGAAGCTGATATTGAGGGGTCAAGTAGAAAGAAAACATTTTGGAAATGATGATGGTAACATAGGTACAAATATGCTTGATACAATTGATGTATGGATTGTTAAGAGCTGCCAAGAGCCCCCAATCGAATGATTTATATATTAAAAAAAACAAACAGAGCCTTGGAAACCCACAAGGGGTCGCTATGAGTCAGCATTGACTCGAAGGCAGTGAGTTTGGCTTGGTTGGCTACGTGTTTGGCTGCGAACCTAAAAGTCAGCAGTTCAAAACTACCAGCTGCTCTGTGGGAGCAAGATGGGGCTTTCTACTCCCATAGGAATCAGTCTCAGAAACCCACTGGAGCAGTTCTCCCCTGCCCTATAGGGTTGCAATCAGTCAGCATCACCTGGATGGCAGTTCAGTTTGGGGTTTTTTGGTATATGGTTTAAAGAATGACAAGTCTCTCAGCTGTCCTTGACCAGAGCCTCAGGCTCCTCGTGTCTCCCTCCAGTTCTGCTCCTCCCCCACCCCATCTGGAGTGAGGGGACCCTCCCTTTGACTTTGATGTGAATGTGTTCTATTTATCGCCTGCCCCCGCCTTCATCCCCGTCAAATCTTTCCTTCCGTCTCTGACTGTTGTGTGAATGTGTGATGACTGACCTTGTTCAGACACGGGGGCTGACGGTTAGGGCATCGATTTAGAATCCACCCGTAGAATAGCCTAGTGAGATGGACTGACCCCGTGGCTGCCACAATGGGCCCCCAAAAATTGCGATTGTGCAGATGGTGCAGGACCAGGCCGTGTTTCACTCTGCCGTGCAGAGGGTCACTCTGAGTCTCAACGGACCCTATGGCACCTCATGCTGATAACACACTACCCCCTGCTGGGCAGTGGCCACAGCCGTCCTTTCTCCTGTGTGGGTCGTGCCCAGTCCCTGGCCACTCTTGCTTGGAACCTCTGTGAGCAGCCCTGTGCAGGCCTTCTGGTACCCCAGCAAGGGCTTGTTATGAGCCCTCCTTTACAGATGAGGAAACGCAGGCCTTGAGTAAGATGTCCCTCATCAGGCAGAGGGAGGGCCCTGCGCTGAATGTATCCCAAGATGTGATTTTCTTCCCCTGTCGTGGGGTTCTGGCTGGGAGAACTGGCTTGTGGGATGACTAGAGGGGGGCTCTCAAGGCACTTATTTTACCCACCCACCCCCTCCCCCACGTTTCTATCTCTGCAACATGGAAACGGGACGGGGTCATGGAAGCCCCAAACCAAATCAAACCCACTGCCCCACCCAGTTGATTCTGACCCCTAGCCGTCCCACATACGGCAGAGGGTCCCAGGTTTATTTAGGAGGCGACAGAACAGGAGATGGATGGACCAGACACACAATTCAGATCCAGTAGGTGAAGGGGCAAGAGGGCTCAGCCCTGCTCAGGGTCTCTCCTAACAAAAGGCCATGCCCCAAAGGAGGCATCATCAGCCAACATGATTGATAGCTTGGGCTCCGCCCCTACCTGCACCCCAACTACACCAAACCCACTGCTATCAGTACTGACTCATAGTCACCTTATAGGACTATTCCTTCCAGTTTCTGAGACTGTACCTGTGTATAGGAGTAGAAAGCCCTGACGTTCTCCTGTTGGAGGGGCTGGTGATTTTGAACTGCCAACCTTGTGGATCACAGCCCAAAGGGTAGCCATTACTGAGAAGTGTCTAATTGACATGAACTCTCCCCATCGCAACTCTTTTCAGGGACCAAAAATTTACTCCAGGCTCGGTGGCAGTGAGTAACTTTTGGACCCGAGTCCATACTGTAGGATAAAATGTAGGTATCTGCTTTTGCAGGGCGCCTCCCCCAACCCTACACCAATTGTTCGACAGGAGCAGCTGGTGGGGTTGAACAGCTGACCTTTTGGTTAACATTTCAAGGCCTAACCCACAGCACCACCGTGCTGTCGCCCCAATCTCCCTCCCTGAATTAACAAACAGCAGTGTTCCCTTAAAGAACCACCTCTGAGGGAGGGGGGAGCGGGGAGGGAAGGGGAAAAATGAGGACCTAATGTCGGGGGTTTAAGTGGAGAGAAAAAGTTTTGAGAATGATGTACAAATGCGCGTTACACAATTGATGTGTGTATGGATTGATAACAGTTGTATGAGCCCCTAATAAAATGTTAAAAAAAACATTAAAAAAAAAAAGAATCGCTCCCATAGCACCGTCCACACCCTCATGCGAAAACCTGAAGGAGTGCTAACTGCAAAGTCAGCAGTTCACAACCACCAGCCGCTCTATGGGACTAAGACAGGGCTTTCTCCTCCGACAGAGAGTTACAATCTTGGGAACCCACAGGGACACTTCCACCCTGTCCAATAGGCTCAGTACGAATCAGAATCCAATCAGTGGCCATGAGTTTTTCTTGCCTGTGTAGCTAAAACATGGTCCCACCCAACACAAGCTGTAGCCATTTGTCGTTCTAAGGAAAAGGTGTGGCGGTGAAGCACACAGGCACAGGCAGTTAGAATCCCGCCTGTGCCAGTGAATAGCTGTGACTTGGGCCAAGGGCCTCAGTTTCTCAGTCTAAAAAAATGATTGTAGGAATGGGTTATCCTTTAGAGAACTGCTTGAGAGGGCCAAGTGCAGACATGGGACCTGTCACATTGTGTTTTTTTGCCCTCACCCTCGAGTGGTTTTGACCCATGGCAACCCTGTACCCCACAGAAGGAAACCAGCCAGCTCCTGGGCCATGCTGGACACCAGACTGCAGCCACTGTTTTACTCCATCTCCTGGGGGGTCTTCCGCTCCAGGGACTGGTCAGAAGGTAGAGGCTCGGTCAGTGGCAGCCTTCAAAGTAAAAGCCCTCCTGGTCGATGGCTGCTGGGCGCTGGACCAAAGGTGACAGCCCTGTGTCCAAGGGTCCCCTGGGAGCAGCTCCTGGCACTGCCACATTGGCCATGTCTCCAGGTGAACACTCCCACGCCTCGGGGCCGCAGCTGTAAAATGGGCAGGATAACTGTCCCCAGCTCTCCGCGCAGCCGAGGCCCGAGGTGCGCTGGCCATCAAGGCTGGTGAATATCCAGGGACGCATGCGTGACTTCTTGACGCCCCGCCCTCTCCCTGCCGCAGGCCAAGGGACAGTTCAAGAAGCAGTCGGTGGCCAACAGCGTGGAGATCTCTGTGCCCGTCCCCAGCGATGCCGACTCCCCGCGCTTCAAGACCAGTGTGGGCAGCGCCAAGTACATGCCTGAGAAGAACGTTGTCATTTGGAGCATCAAGTCTTTCCCGGTGAGCGCTGGACAGATGGGGACGCCTGACCTGTCCTCTGGGTGGCAAGACAGAGCATTGGAGACTCGCCCGCCCCCCACCGCCCCCAGGCACGCAACTGCCTGGTGTGTCTGATGCCCCTGTGTGCCCCTAGGGGGGCAAGGAGTACCTGATGCGTGCCCACTTTGGCCTCCCGAGCGTGGAGAAGGAGGAGGTGGAGGGCCGGCCCCCCATCGGAGTCAAGTTTGAGATTCCTTATTTCACCGTCTCCGGGATCCAGGTGAGGGAAGGGGGCAGGGAGGCAGCATTCTGGTCCCTCCCCCTGGGTCACCTGCCCTTCCTCTGCAGCCACCCTGCTCTTCCAGGACAGTGTGGCTTACTCTGCTCTCAGCCCTGGTCTCTTCCCCCTGCACCTCCACTTTTGCCCCCAACTGGCCGGCTCACAGCTGCCTTCCCCTGCTGGGCCCACAAGCCCTTCACCACCATTCCCGAGGCCAGGCCACCTGCTGCCCCCAA